GCGGCCCTCACCATTTGCGCTCCCGCGGTCGGCGGACTGAGCCGGAGGCTCTTAAGTTTTAAGGTTTAGGGTTGTGGGGTGTAGGGTGTCAGGTTAGGGCTTTGTTTTTTTGAAAAATTTGGAGCTTCGGGTTTAGGGTTCAGAGGATTTCCCCCCGTGGTTCGCGTCAAGGACAAAGTTGGGTGCAGGGCTTTTTGGAAGAGGGTTTAGGGTTACCTCTTAGACACCAGTCCCAGCCTTTCAGCTGAATGCTCTGAATCCCAAAACCCAAACCCCTAAACGCCAAATCTGGGACAGCAAACACACTCCAAACCCTCCCTTTACTCATGGCTTGGAAGCTCTACGGCTTGGATTGCTCCTACGGTGGATATATACTAAAAATCTTGCATGACCCTAAATACCGTAAATGTTGGGAATAATGCTGCTGTAATATACTTGGGTCATGCAGGACTTTTAATATCAACAGTAGGTCCTAGATTAAGCCGTGGAATTCACTGGAATTGCTGACCCGGCCGTGAGGGGCGCGTGTAATCTGTGTGATTCCAATTTCATGCCCTATACTTTCATGTGTTTAGGGTGTAGGGTAGATCGCCGGCTTATGTGAACCTAGCACTGAGGCAGAATTACCGCCCCTGTACCACAAGCCACAATGTAAGAGCACGAGAGACAGGCCCTGAGCCTCATGCCCCAAACTTCGAACAACACCAAAAGCCCCGAGCCCTAATCCTAAACCCCAAAACCCAAACCCTAAGCACCATAAGCCCACCACCGCCTACAGGGTCACGCTCTGCAACCGGACTGTAAGCCCGAAACCCTAAATGTCAAACCCCGCACCCCAAAAGCCATAGACCTGACAGTAGATCCCAAACTCCAGTCCTAAGCCCTGCATAGGGTTTAGTGTTTAGGGTTCAGGGAATCACCTGGCACCCCAAACCCCACAGCCCTCTTAGTTGCCCGGTCAGGCAGCTGCGCGGTATCGATCAGCTGACTGCACGCTTCGAAGCTTCGCGTCGATGACCCCTGGTGCCAAAGGGTCCATGTAGGTAGGTAGTATGAAGTTTAGGGTATAGGCTGGGTACTGCCCCCACCCATTAACAGTCTATACTAGGGGTCATACTAAGGGCTGTATATAACTATATTATAAATATTATCCAACTGTTACTGAGTGGGGGCAGTACCCAAGGTATAGGGCTCAATGTTTAGGGTAGGTATATAGGTATATAGCACCTCCTTGAGCCCCAAAGGAATTACTTGCTAACCCCTTCGGGCCCTAAGTGTGTGTGAAATGGGTTGTTCTCGAAACTGTGGGCCCCTTCAGATATCACGGCACCTAGTATTTGGTACCAGAATGGAACCAAAGTTTGGAAACTACCCTAACCCTACACCTTACATGTAGTCCTTGTCATAGGGACCCCCCCCAAAAAAAAGAGTAACCCTAATTTTGGGAACTACACATATACCTCCACGGGAGCTCTTGGACCCTTTGTGAGAACAGTTTGGCCTTGGTGTCTAGGCCTTTTGTGTTTGGGTTTGGGCTTGGGCTTTAAGGCCAATGAACTGATTCGGGCTGAGAGTAGAGTTAATATCTAACCCTAAACCCTAAACCCTAAACTCTAAATTTAGGGCTGAGGGTTTAGAGCTTGGGGCTTCGGCTTTGGGGCTTAGGGCTGAGGGTTCAGGATTTAGGGCTGAGGATTTAGGGTTTAGGCCTTAGGTCCTGGGGGCTCAGAGTGTACGGTTTGGCAGGTTGGGAGTATAGGATCTATAGGATTTAGCAGTAGAAGCTCGGTTGAGGGTGTAGGATCCAATTCGAGGGACCTGGGTTGCGAATAGGATAGGACACCTGCAGATACAGGCCTGCCACTACCTGTAACTACCTATAACTCCAACTGACGACAATTTTAGTCCGGAGGTACAACCCATAAAGCTGCAGATACGTACTTGGGATTTCAGGTACTGTAGGTCTTACTGATGTCTTCTGTCAATTTGCAGCGATTGCTTTACATGATTGCCTGTGCGAAGAACCACAACAATGCTCGTACGTCGTAGTAGAGGTCACCCGCAACACTCTTTTGGCGCTCTGAACCCTAGATCTCACAAACTGAAATCAGGATTATTCGAGATATAGCCTAAACTCTTTAAAGGGTGTATATGAGGGATTGCATTGGGGAGCAGTATAGG